GTTGGCACCAATTCAATACCTATAGACATCTCCATTTTGGGGTGTGGTGAAGAAGGAAACCATGCAGTGCAAACAGTTCAATTGTGACACAACATGGCTGTGAGAACAGCATGGCTGTGGAACAACTCAGCAGTATTACACCTCAATTATGAAGCAGAACAGCTGTGAGGTGGCCCTGGAGCAAGGCTCCTCTCCAGCAGGACAGCTCTGCCCTGCTCCACTCTATGCCAATCCACTCTACTCCTGTGAGACATACTTGGTGTTTCAATACCAGTCAGCCAGAGAAACCAGTCTTCAATCCTCTGTGGAAGGGAAAATGCAATCTGAGAGCCAGAGGGGAACTAATTTATATAGACAGAAGTCCCGACCCTGGTCCCTGATTGGCCCATTTTTATGCAAATGAACTCCAAATCCTTGCAGCTTGATTGATCTAAAAACACTGTCCAGATTGGTCAGAACAGAGCTGTTTTGATTGGTTGGTGAAGATGCTAATGGGTATATAGCTTCGAAGCTCAGATTAGATGGAGAAAGTATCAGTCTGCTTGGTTAAAATACAATTCCGGGAACTCCTTTATAAGGGCTGGCTCAGGTGGCAGGAATGCAGTGTAGAGGGCAGGCAGCTTAGTGCAGGCTTTTCCCTGCAGTTTGTGCAAAAGGCCTGTTTAGAAACAGCTGCTAGGCTCTGCTTTTCATTTGAGCCCAGTTAGCCACCAGGAGTACTTCTTAGTAGGTATATTTTTTCTCAGGGTCCACACTATAAATGATCTGTATCCTTTTCCAACTAACATGATGATCTTTCTTAGAAAGTTCTATGGCACTAAATAGAAACTTTTTTCTCTCATCAGCCAGATGCTACTTTATTTACTTTGTTTGAGAGTATCACTTAAATGTCTATCAGTTAAGCATTGGTAAAACACTTCAATAGAACTTCCTACCAATTAGTGAATTCATGTTGCATCATCTGTCTTAAATGCAGAGACAGTTTAATACAATATAATTGGTTCTAGATTTTTAAAAGAATATTACATTTAAGTGCATATATGTAATCTACACAGTACATATAGGATATATGATCAAATACTACAATACTAATGTTAAGACCCTTGGCAAGATTTTTCAAATATACTCTTCCTCTCATACTTCAAACATGTACATTTTAGGATTATTATTTTGCTAAAGTTTAGCATATTTTCATATTAAAACCATAGCCTTACACCTCCTTGTTGTACACTATAAGTAGAAGCTTCTCCAAAGTGTGGAAAGGATATCTCACCCAGACTGCTAAAAATTAAATATTTCTTTTAAGAAAAATCAGAGGAAGGAAATATGGTGTGATAGGTTTATGGATGGTGGAAACAAACTACCCACTGGGACTGACAGTTTGAGACCCAGGGAATATCATCATAAAAAAAGGGGCTCCAACTGCAGCTGAGCATTAATTGATTTGTGATGTTGCTTGAGTCCTCTCAACTTGGGTCCTTGTCCAGGTGGGATGGACAGATCCCAGGACCATAATGATCTTTCTAGCTTGAAGAGCCTACGATTCTAGTTAAATGAAAAGGAAAGAACTAATTAGCAGGAAATCTTCGGCACCAGTCTCAGGCATTGGTGATCTTGTCTTTTGTGGAGGCTTGGGCTGTTTTGAGTGGGTGGAGCTTTCAGCCTAGCCCATGGGGCATGAGAATCCACACCTGAGGTTAAGTGGGCAGCAAAGCCAGCCAGGTCCTCCACAAAGGCACAGCAGGCTCCTGGAGGAGATCCCCTTGGCACCTCAGGATCCTTACCAACCTCTGTTCTAATGTGTGGCCCATTTTTTTTCTGAACTGAAAACTTTTTCTCCCTGTTTTCTGCTAGCCTCTGACATTCCTAAAGCAGAATCTAGACCCAGCTGGAAAAAAATGAGGCATCCAGCAATAACTTGTCAGTTGCATGTCTGCTCAACAGGAATATGGTTTAAAAATCAAGTTCTGTGTTTGGGGAGGGTGAGTGATTTTCAGTGGAGGCATGTTTAGGCTAGCATGTGCCAGGGGGTCCTTCCTCTGAGAATCTTACTTCATTGTTGGCAAGACCAGCCAAACACACACTCAACAACTAGAGATGAACAGATGGTAGACTGGCTGTGAGAGCAAGGGGACAATCTGCACTGTACAGAACTCACAGAGATCCTTGGGTTTGAAAAAGCTTCCAAGGGGATTGACCTGTTGGGGCAGGGAAGGAAAGACAGAGGACAGTGTAAGGAGGCACAAGGGTGAGTGTGTCCTGGAACAGGGAGCACACCCTCATTCCTTAAAGGCTTTTTACTGAGAAAATAAGTAAGTACAGGTCCATAAGGTGGCCCAACATTATGTGGATGGTCTGGAAAATCTCATTCATTGCTTTATTTTCCAGACTTACCTCTTCCTGATGGGAAGAGGAAGGAAGGAAGGAAGGAAGGAAAGAAAGAAGGGAGGGAGAAAAGAAGGAAGACATCCCAGATGCCCATTGTTCCTCCCTCACAGAGGCCTGGCAGGAATCACAGCAAAACACCCTTCCAGAGGTCATCACTGCAATCCTTGGGGCCCCTGAATGACAGCCAGCTCGGGCACTGCCTCTTTCTCCTGGTCCCACCCAAGCATGATCACCTCCCTCAGGGTGCTGCCCTCTTTACCAGAGTCTCTCCCTCTCTCTGTCAGGAGCCCTCCTCTTTTGCCATCATGCGGGGCACCCACAGATCAGGTTCTGGTTGGAGTAGGTATTGTGAAGAGTTCTGAGGAAGGGCAGTATGGCTGAGCTGGTGCCCTCTGTGCTTGTTGGTGGGGCAAGCCGTGGCCAGGCAGATTAGCAGTATGTAATGCTAATAAACTGAGCACTTCAATTGGTTAAAGTGGCAAAACTTATGTGCATTTATCACACCAAAAAAACTTGGTAACATTTGAATATAGTATATATAAAATCTTATGGCTTAGAATAGAAAATTCTTAAGCCAAACAAAGGAATGAATCACTGATACATGCTAAATATGGATGAGCCTGGAAAACATGATGCTAAGTAGAAGAAGCCAGACATACAAGGCCTGACAATTAAGTTTGTGAACTTGTGCAACGATGTTGCTAACTTTTTTTGATATCAGAGGGATTACTCATTATGAATTTGTACCAACTGGACAAACAGTTAACCAAGTTTACTATTTGGAAGTGCTGAAAATGCTACATGAAAAAGTTAGAGGACCTGAACTTTTTGCCAACAATTCATGGCTCTTGCATCACGACAATGCACCAGCTCACATGGCACTGTTTGTGAGGGAGTTTTTAGCCAGTAAACAAATAACTGTATTGGAATACCCTCCCTACTCACCTGATCTAGCCCCCAATGATTTCCTTTTTACCTGAAGATAAAGGAAATATTGAAGGAAGACATTTTGATGACATTCAGGATATCAAGGGTAATATGACAACAGCTCTGATGGCCATTCCAGAAAAAGAGTTCCAAAATTGCTTTGAAAGGTGGACTAGGCACTGGCATCAGTGCATAGCTTCCCAAGGGAAATACTTCGAAGGTGATGGTAGGGATATTTAGCAATAAAGTATGTAGCACTTTTTCTAGGATGAGTTTGTGAGCCTAATTGCCAGACCTCATAAAGGCCACATATTGTACAATTCTATTTACATGAAATATTCAGAATAGGCAAATCTGTGGACACAGGAAGCACATTGGTGGTTGCCAGGGGCTGGGAGGAGGGTGGAACAGAAGTGAGTATTTAATGGATATGGGGGTTTCTGTTTGAGGTGATGAAAATGTTCTGGAATTAAAGAATGATGATGGTTCACACTGTGAATAGACTATAAATCACTGAATTGTACACTTTAAAAGTGGTGGATTTTATGATATGAAAATTATATCTCAATTTTTAAAATTGCGTGATAAATACATGGTTTTAAAAAAAGAGTTAACATGGGAAACACATATTCTGAGTATTTCATTTGTTCTCACTCTACTAAACTCTGCACACAAACACAGACCATCCAAATGAAAACAAACACTATTTAGTCACAGCTTGCTCTATACAGCAAGTGAATCAGCCAGTATCACTTGCAGTTGGCTGACCCAAAGACAGGCAGAGGAGGAGGAGAGCATTTTCGTGGAAAAAAAAGAAGGCACATCTTGCTTCAGATCCAAGGTTGTGATCTGGGGAAGCTGGAGGCAGGCTGACTAGAGGGCAGCAATCTACCTGATTGCTTACGGAGAACATATTTGGCTTTCTGCAGTTTGGTTTTAAATTGGAAGCAGAATTAAAAATGAGGAAGCTGTCACTCATTGACCAAGTCCTGGCATTTGGGGCCTAGTATTGCAGAGGTTGTGGTCTGGCTGGTCGAATGTAGGTCAGGACCTGGTGTGTTGGAAGGAGAGGTTCCCTGGTTCCCAAGAGGGATTTAGAAAATTTTGCATACCATAACCCCTCCTTCATCAACTTCAATCAGTCAGATATTTTGTCGACAGAGAAACCTAATTCAGTGTTTTTATAATCAACTGCAAACACAGTAATGATGAGTAACAATAATAATGGTAAGTGTTATTACTATAAAGTTCAGGATTTTTCACTTGGGTAATTCCATCTTGTAGTGCATTTAATTATAGCAACAAACAAATCCCCTTAAAACAAAAAACAAACAAAAAAACCCACATCTAATTCTCAAATTACTTTTTTTTCTCCCTTCATCCCCCACCTCCGTCCAACCATCTGGTCGACCTTGTGAGACAGCAGCCAGAGGACACCCAACTGCTGCGAATGTGGCCCAGAAGGAACCCGATCAAAGGCAGGGGAGGGCGCACCGCCGCCCAGACAGACGTCCACCCTTGTCCCGGTCCACCCCCGGTCGTGTATCTCCGTCCAGGGCCACCCGCACGTGCAGAGGCTGTTTCCTGTCTCCGGAGTGAGACTTAAAATTCCCTGGAGGAGCCTCTGACAACCGTAGGTTCTGTGGGACCATGGTCAGGCTCCGGGTCTCCTCCCCGATACTTACAGGACGGCCGTGCGGGTCCATGATTCCAAGAGACGGAAAATTTTGTTAGGCTCCTACGACCACCAGGCTCCATGCGGGACAGCAGCTGAACCTTTAGCGTCGGTCACCGCGGTGGAGGGGACCTTCGTGTGTTGTTTGAACTTCAGGCGCCACCCAACGAGGCGACCAGAAAAGCGGCACGGTGGTTGCTCCCCCACCTGGTGCCGGTCCCCGGTGAGGTGTCACCACCAGGACCGTCCGCTCTCGCTGTGCGCTTTCCAAACTCTGCCTAGGGTTACCGCGGCTAGATCCGCTCCTACGACCATTTCGCAGGGAGCTCCAAGGAAACTAAAACTTTGCCAGGTAACCAGCATTACCTACGAATATGGCACAGAGGTGGATCTGGGTTCCCGAGCCGTCAAGGACGCACCTCCGGCGCTTGGTGGGCGCGGATAGTCACGGTCCCCATCGGAAGAAAGACTTGGAGCCCTGAGGACGCCCTCCGCTCTCCTCGCCTTGGCCATCCTGGGCAGGTCCCCAGCTCCTGATGGATGACTTGTGACAATTTTGAAGTTCCCGCGAACTTCAAACCAGAACTGCGGGCGAGCAAGTGGTGCCTTCGCCATACATCCAAGGCCAGTCCGCTTCAAACCCGGAACACCCTCTCCGGTTCCCCGCGGCGGCCTCGACTGGTCCCTGCGAGCCAAGGGACACCGGCGCGTTTTGTTGGACCCGCCTGGGCCACCCACTCCCAGGCCCCGGAGCGCAGCGCACACCTAATATCCTCTGTTCATGCAGACCCGGTCTCGGGCGAATTGATGGGGCGCCAATACCCTGGCGCAGCGGGGTCGAACGCTGACTGCCTCCTGGGACTCCGCCTCGGGCACCGCAGTCAAATCCTTTCCCTGATGATTTCGCCCCGCGCTCCGGAAGGAAGAAACTACCGATATATAAAAGCCGCTGCCAGATGGCGCCCTAGAACGGGCGCAAACGTCAGCGGGATGCATCCGGGTCGCTAGCCCGCTAGGGCGCCCCGCTGACCTCCCGGGCGCCGACCTCGTCCCCGCCCACCGTGGAAAGCGCCGGGGGCGTCCGCCTCGGGCTCTTGGCTGGCACGGCGTGACCCCGGCAGCAGAAGGGGAACGTGGACATTTTTTTCAAGAGTTCATTTCCTACCAAGGATGGCTGCTGGAAAGGGGAAGCCTCTCCACGAGACTCCCTGGTTGGCGCTGGTCGTTTCCGCGCTCCAGAGCGGACTTGGAAAATGTACCAAAGACATCAGCAAGCAGAGGTGCCTGCCCAGGTCTCTCAGAGTGGCAGGAGGGTTCCCGGTTCCCCTACGGACCTGGAAAATGCTGCGGGGCTTGGGGACAGGGGGCAGGGGTCGGTGTGGACCATAAAACTAAAACTATGAAAGTACTCGTAGAAACGTTGGTGAATAATTTTTATTATGTAATTTCAAAGTGGAGATCTTCCTAAAGCATACTAAAACAAAAAACCCCAGAGCTGTAAAGGAAAGATTAATAAACTTGACCACATAAAGTTGAAGCAAAATTGATCTTTATGTATACCACAAGCAAAATCAAATGACAACAAACAGGTGTGGGGAACATTTGTGCAAATGTGTAATCAGAATATTGATTTCAGTATAACTTATAACAACAGTTGGGGGGAAATAGGCTTTAAGAAGGACCAGATAAATAAATTCTGGTACATCCACACAATACAACACTAACGATTTGTGTTTTAGTTTACTTATATTTTTTAAATGAGGAAGATCTATAGGTACTGACATGTAAAGATATTGATGATAAATTGTTAAATGAAAATAAGTTGTAGAACTTCCAGTGGTATATAAAAAAAGTACTCACATTTTTCTTTTAAAGGAAACATATAGGAAGCAAAGGAATTAGAATAGCTACAGCAATTTTGAAAAATAAGAATAAAGTCTTCCATATATCCTGGTATCTACAGCAGAAAGGAGAGTGTCTTTAGAAACAGAGATGGACCACACCTCCCGCTCCTCTGCCCAGGCCTACTATAGTACCCAGGCAGGCGCCTGGCATCCCAGCCCCTCAACCTGCCTGCTCCACCCGGACCCAGATCCATCCAGCCACAAGTGGGACCCCAACTCTGCAGTTCACTCAGCTGCTCCAACCATAAAAGCCAAGGGCTGCCAGCTCCAACTTATGACAGTGTGGTCCTTCTGTCCATGAGCAGTGGGCTGCTTTCTCGTGGGAAGGACATTCCCTTCAAATAGCAGGTATTAGCCAACGGGACAACTGAATCTTTGCACCTGGACCCATCATGTAAGCTTCGTGTGCACTCAACTCCCAAGGACACAAGACCAGCTGAGGCTTCAGGCCCTTTTGGCATAGTTCTGACTACTGCTCCCATGAAACATGGAGGTGCACTGAGCAAGACCGAGGTGACAGGAAGAAAGAAGACACACACACACACACACACACACACACACACAACACACCAGGAGCCAATCAGAACTGCCAGGCCCAGCACCCAGGGGAGTAGAAAAGAGATCATCATTGTTAACTCTTCTTGGGTTCCTTGAGCTGACAGCTCTAGCTGAGACAGATTCTGGGTTTTTTTTGTTTGTTTGTTTTGTTTTTTTTAGCTGAGCCATCCTGCTACCTGTTGGCAGCTCAGCGGCTGCTCAGCTCGGGCTGGACTCGAACCGCTGTTGCTCAGAGCTCAAACTCTTGAGCGAGCTCTTAACCAACTGAGCCACTCGGCCGGCCCCAGATTCTGGTTGTTTTATTGATCTTATTGTGGGGCAGTGAGAGCTTGGAGCTTCCTAGTCTGCCATTTTGCTGACCCGTACCCTAATTTTAATGTGTCTCCTCAATACACAGTTAAAATTAAGAAAACAATACATACAGTACATTCAGTTTTCAAGTTTGAACCAAAGTTAATAAATAACACAGAGGGAAACTGGGTTATTGTGAACAAGTTTGATAAAATAAATAAATTTATTTATATTTTTTGAAGCTATCAAAAATGTCCAAATATAGTATACAAAAATTAATATGTGTAAAATTACAATAAAAATTATTCCCCATTGCTTCTCCTGGTCCAATCCCCTCCCCCACTCCAAGGCTGTACAAGTCTCCTCCCAGCACCTGTGATGTAGAACTCATCTGATGAGACATCTGTCTCCCCATTGGTCTAGGAACTTCTGCCTTCACTCAACTCTATTTCCTGCAGTTACACATGCCTAAGGACATTGCAAGCACTAGTGAGGAAATTATTTCTTCACCAAGCCCAGGGGGTGACTTTTTAAAAAAAGGAAACCTCTCCCATCTATTCTGTGAGGACACAGCCTCAATACAGCCTGGAACAACACCTCCAAAGGGTCCTCCAGTGCTGGAGGGCCCCTGGCTGCCTCAGGGGCTTACTGTGTATGCATGGACCACTTTGGTCCTGATCAGAAGGCACAAAAAGGGGCCGGCCGAGTGGTGCGTTGGTTAGGAGTTGGCTTGGGATGCCAGCTCTGAGCAGCAGGGCCCTGGATCAGATCCCACATTAGGCCAGTGACGCTGCACCCTCTATAGCTAAGATGGTGAACAACAGTTTGACCTGGAGCTGGGCTGCCATGAGTCACCAGCGACAGCGTAGGCTGCAGTCGGGCTGGCTGGCAACTGGTGTGCACTTTCGTGAGCTGCCATGAGCCTCTGTGAGCGGCCGTCCAATGGCCGGGGAGCGACTGCCTCACCCGGGAAGAGCACAGTGATAATACCAACATAGGCCAGTGAAGCGATGTCCTCCACAACTAGACTGAAGAACAAAAGGACAGTAACTTGTCTGTTCCCCTTCCTTCATTCCCCAATGCTGTTCCCCTCCCCCAATTCCCCAATAAAATATTTTTTAAAAAAAGACACAAAGAACCAGACTGGTGTGGGAGAGGCCAGGACCCAGAAGCTGGCTTTGAGGAAACAAGGCACAAGCCTTATTAAAAGCTCTCATCTATACATATGCACATTTCCCTCCTGGGAGAATATGACCTGCTTTTTTAAAGCTTAGCCAGGCCGCCAGGCCAAGGTTCCCAGCAATTAGAGATGTTACCAGACTTGAAAAACCAGGTTTTTGAATTTCAATGTCACAGAAATGAACACTGAACTCAGAATAATTGAGCAGATAGAGTTTATGAAAGAGAAAGAGAGAGAGAGAGTCTTGTACACAAAGGGGCATAAAGAAAAAAACATGCTTCCTGAAGGCTTTTTGTGACAAGATAATAGAGACCATCAAAAAGTGGGAAGGGGCTCAGGAATGAGGATGTGGTTCCTGGTCCTGTGATGTCTGCAAGTAGTCATTGGTTTCAAGGTGATCACAAGATGTTGTTTCCATGGTTCATGGTCCCTGCTGAGGTCCTGTAACACAAAGGCTTACATAAACGTTGGCTAGCCTTTGTATTTTAGATGACCAGCCCTCAATTGCAGACAAGATATTATCGGTTTCTTTTTCAGAGGCTGTGGGCACTGAGTTAAACCTTAACTAAGATGTCAGCCAGGAGGGAAGGGGTCAGACCAAAGTTAAAAATGAAGTCTTGGTATTACACGAGATGGAGTCTCCCTTCTTTTAGCTATTTAGAGACACAGGCAGCAAGTCCAAATGGAGACTGTATGGACTATGGCCACTTTAAAGCCGCCACTCACAAGGATTTCCAAGAAGGGTGGGAACTCTCTTTACACTGGGAGATTGGCAGTGGTTTGGGAACCAATCCAAGGAGCCCCCAGGCCTGGAAAGTCCCTAGCTGCCCCAAGTGCTTATTACACACACAGACTGAGCAGGTACTGGGCAGCGGCACAAGGAACCAGGCAGATCCAGGGGGACACTGGGTCCCAAGAGCAGGCTCTATGGGAAAAGGCATAGGCTTATTTAAAAGCCCTCACCTTCACATATACACATTTCTCTTTGAAGGCTGAGCTGTGAGAATTTGGCCTGACTTCGTTTTTTTATTTTATTTTTTTCATTAAATAATTTTTTATTATGAAATACACATTTTTAAGAATTAGTTTCAGCTGTACAACACAGTGCAATAGTTATACTTTTTACCCCTCAAAGTGACAACCCCCCTCCCCCAATCTGCTGCCCCATTTCCCACCAATATCATACATATCTATTACAAATCCCTTGACTCCACTCCCACACTATACTCCATTTCCCATGACTATATAT